GAGGAGGAGGAGGAGGAGGAGGAGGAGGTACATTTCTGGAACAAGTCCAGTCCAGATACGGTAGATTGGCCCGTATTTCTTCTCCCAGTCGCCCGAGACAGTCTCGCCATCGAGGAACTTGGTACTGCCGCCACCATCGGGAAACTTGTAAGGACGCGTGGGGATCTGAGATCTGCCGCTGACGGAGCTGACGGGGTAACGCCACCGCAGGTATTTCTGTATATAATTAGAGTCTCGTGGAGACAACCAGAGACAAGCAATCGGTATGCTTCAGACTTACATCGATAATATATGATAGAACTGAATTGCTCCAGCTGTTGGGATCAAAAGCCCACCAGATGAAGACCGCAATGGTCGTGAATATTGCCTGGGCCCAGATTAATTGTTCGCGAGACATTTTGGTGGCTTTGCCAGAATCCGTTAGGGACCGATCGGATTGTCAAAAATAAGAGATGGAGAGATGGGTCTGTAGAATAAAACGGTGAATTATGTGTGACGGGCACTGCTGGCCCTCGTTTTGTTGAGGAAGATCATTCTGCGAGGGGCGGCGGCCATACAGCAGCATAATTGCCTTATAATGCAATGCAATGTTACAAGGCCAACTGGATATACTCAGTCTACGCATGGGAAAGGCGTGATTCCGATGTTGCACATTCCTGCCGCCCCGACAGTCCACCTGCACATAGGTTCGGTAGCATTTACATTCCGCAGAGCAGGTTTGTATCCTTGCGGAGACAGCGAGCGAGCATTCCATTCGCTTGTGTCGCCCAGCACTACTTAGAGTCAGCCGCGCAAGGGACGTGCCGCACCGCTTGAACGCCCCTGACATGCTGACTTGCCTCTTTCTTGAATGTTATACACCGCGGACTTGGATTAAAAGCCAGCAATGCTGTTCTAAATGGCCGGATATTGACTCCTCACAGTCAAGCTTACTGAATGGTTCCTTTCAAGGCACGTTGTACGTAACTATATGGTGCTGGATCCAATAAAACCTGCACGGGTGGGTTCTAAACCATGTAAGGTGATCAGGAACGTGACCCGTAGCAATGCTAGCGAATGGACCGGTATGGCGTGCGCTCGCTGCTCCTTGCTGTTCCCCACAATAGCTGGGAACTGATGTCACCATGCCAGGAAGATGGATGGCTTGCTTATATCGGCCACTGCCGTGCAATGGCTGAGCATGACATATAATGACTGCTTGTGGCGTCGTACATCGTAAACTCTACCCCCCCTGATAAGATACGAAGGTTTTAGGGTAACGTACCTAGCTCTGATGGCGCTGGCTGAGATGGAGTCACAGCCAACTATTTTTCCGACTTTGAACGGCGGTGATGATGAACATGCTGTCTTTCATGTCATCCGCTCACAGTTAAATTCAAAATTGACCACACAATGGCGACATGGCGACAGCGCCCGATGGGCACATTGTATCAAGCTCGCATGGGCCGTTCTACTTGCACGCTACGCCGGCAATGAAGCTCCCAGCTTCACTGTCGTTGAGGACGTTCATGCGGCACCAGGCCTGTGTTCGGCCTCGCGTCATTCTCGTACGGAAGCTCATGTCGAGACCTGGGAAATTTCAGAAACCCCGAATGCCGGTGTCGCCGAGACGGCACGCAGGCGCAAAGCAGAGCCGTGGCCCGCACAACAACGGGGTCGTGAAGCGCTGCCTGACACCGGAGTTCGAATCCAGAACCACAGCAGCCATCAGCATGGCTCGGGCGACTACGCTCAGATATCTGATGGCTGCAACTTGCTTGTTACTCTGGATATGTGCCGGTCTCCCATCGACATCTCTCTGAGATTCTCGAGTACAACCATAAGCGACAAGTATGCACAGACGATCATCGAGACCTTGACGCATCTCTTCGAATGTTTACTGCAGAACCCTCACGCCAAAATGAGCAGCGTCAGCTTCTTGGGGAGGCATGCGTCACGTTTGCTTACAGAGTGGAACGATCCAAAGCGACTCGCCAGACCGGGGACATGTATCCATGCCTTGATTCTAGCTCAGTGCCAACAGCAACCCGAGGCAGAGGCCCTGTGTGCGTGGGATGGCTCAGTCTCCTACGCCGAGCTCGACCGCCTCTCCAGCGCTTTGGCTGACCGACTTGTCTCGCTAGGCGTGCGATTGGAGACCATCGTGCCTGTCCTTTTCGAGAAGTCAATGTGGACCGTCGTGGCCATCCTGGGCATTTTGAGGGCCGGGGGGGCATTTGTTCTTCTGGACGCCTCTCAGCCTGATGCACGCCTGGTCGAGATCTGCACCACCTGCCAGGCGAAGGTAATACTGGCGTCACAAGCACTCCACGAGACCGCGAGGAAATTGTGCGAGACGGTGGTCTGTCTCCCGATTGAATTGTGTACGGAGAAGAATCTTCCACCGCTGAATCGACCCCCCACGCCGCCAGAGAGTGCGGCAGACGCAGCAGCATATATCGCCTTCACCTCAGGCTCCACCGGAAAGCCCAAAGCCATTGTCATCGAGCACCAGTCATTCTGTGCCAATGCCCTAGCGCAGAACGAAGCCCAGAACCTCAACCGCCAGTCGCGTGCCTTTCAATTCGCTTCCTATGGATTTGACAGCAGTATCCTAGAGATGCTAATGACCCTGATCGCCGGCGGCTGCGTCTGTGTGCCATCGGATACCCAGCGGATCAACGAACTCGCTTCCACCATCAACCAGCTCCGCGCCAACTGGGTGGAGCTCACGCCCTCGGTGGCCAGAATGCTGACGCCCGAGGCGGTGCCCAACATCCGGTCACTGCTTCTGGTTGGCGAGCCGCTATCGCAGGAAAACATTGCGACGTGGTCCGGGAAGGTGCAACTCATTAATGCCTATGGGCCGGCCGAGTGCAGTGTCGTCACCACGATCCAGCCCTACGTGAAGCCGTCCGACCCGTCGAATATCGGCCGGTCACAGTCGGGCCATTGCTGGGTCGTAGATCCCCATGATATCTCCACGCTTCAGCCGATTGGCGCGGCGGGCGAGCTCCTCATCAGTGGACCCCTGGTCGGCCGAGGATACCTGAACCACCCAGCCCAGCAGGCATATGTGCGCGCCCCGCCCTGGGCTGCGGACTTCGGGTTACCGGTAGGGGAGCGCTTCTATCGCACTGGTGATATGGTGTATTACAATATCGATGACGGGACGTTACGGTATCTAGGCCGCAAAGACCGGCAGGTTAAGCTTCACGGCCAGCGCATCGAGCTGCCGGAGATCGAGCACCACGCGCAGCTGTATCAAAAGGGGCTCGTGGCCGCGGCGGATGTTGTGAGCCCGCCCGGCCAGGCCTCCGACGCTATACTGACGTTGTTTGTGGTGGGGCAGGGAGCTGGGGCGGTCTTTCCGAGCCAGGATGGAGCAGCAGAGCTACTTGCCCCCGTTGACGAGCGCACTCGCGCCTTCTGGAAAGAAATGCGACGCTGGCTTCTCGAGCGGTTGCCCTCGTACATGGTTCCCACCAAGTTCGTGCCGATGCACCGCTTCCCCTTGACAGCGACTGGGAAGCTCGACCGGAGGACTTTGGTCGCTCTTGCTTCCAAGGCTCGGGTCTCAGACGAGGTTCGGGACCTCCAAGCACCGCCGAGTCAGCAGCCTGCATCGACATGTGACGTAAAGAGTACCCTGTGCTCGCTCTTTTCGAACGTTCTGGGAGTCCCGGAAACCCAGATCGCCGCCGATGATGACTTCTTCGCCCTTGGAGGGACATCATTGAAAGCGATCGAGCTGGTGGCTCGCGCACGCGACAGAGATATCATCATCACGGCTACGGACGTGATCACGCTTCAGACCCCAGCAGCCCTCGTCCAGGCTGCTTCTCGGTGCCACGACCTCCCTGTCATTCCCCCTTACAGTCTCATCAGTGAGGCCAGCCGTCTCCCTACCACCGCCAGGATAACTTCTCAGTTGTTGCAAGAGGACAGCATTGAAGATGTGTACCCATGCACCCCTCTACAGGCCGGGATGATGGCATTGTCAGTCAAGATCCCAGATGCTCTAGTGGGCACCTTTGCATTCACTCTGCCGCCGCAAACAGACCTGGCGAAATTCAAGCTCGCCTGGGAACAGGTCATTACAGCCAATCCCATCTTGCGGACCCGGATCGTCCAATGCGAAAGTGAATTCCTGCAAGTCGTCGTTGCGGCAAAGACCGTCCCTTGGGCCGACTCCTACCCCACTGGTGACAGCTGGCCAATGGGCCTAGAAGCCCCTCTCCTGCGCATGGCCATGATTGATCGAGCGCAGTGGAATAAGGAACCTTTGTTTGTCGTGAGAATGCACCATGCCATCTTCGATGCTTGGTCCTACGCGCAGATCCTGGAGGATGTCGAGCAAGTATATCACGGCGGTGCATCGCCAAAGCGCCAACCTTTCAATCACCTCGTTCAATACATATCCAACCTCGACGCGAAGGCGGCACAAGAGTTCTGGAAGACTGAACTTGCTGGATACAATGCCACCGCGACCTCCTTTCCACCGCTCCCTCAAAGCGGAACGACGGCGTTGCGCTCTCCTCATTCTCGAAGTATCCATGTCCATTCCACGACCATCGATCAAGACTGGGCACTGGCAAGCAAGATTCAGCTGGCCTGGGCTATGGTTATATCGGCGCATACAGGCACGAAAGATGTTGTTTTTGGTCTGACCGTGTCGGGGAGGACGGCCCCAGTGCTGGATATTGACCGGATTATGGGGCCGACCATTGCAACAGTCCCCTTCCGAGTCCAACTCCGGCCCGACCAAGCCATTCAAGATGCAGTGACTGAGGTCCACGATCACACCATCTCCCTCGTGCCTTTCGAGCACACCGGGCTGTTGTCGATTTGCGACTGCAGCCCCGAGGCTGCGGCCGCCTGCGCCTTTCAAAATCTGCTGACAGTCCGACTGCGTCCAGCCGAGCGATCGCAATCGATCATGGCGGATACGCCCGAGAACGAGGAGGAGGATCGCAATTTCAATACGTACCCTCTCTCAATGATTGTTCAGGCGCGGAAGGACTCCTTGCAGCTCAAGGCGCTGTTCGATGGCTCCATGGTGCATGACAGCCAGGTGCAGATCATCCTGGAGCGGTTCGCCTCAATTCTAGAACGGATCCTGCACCAGCCACAATCACGTATCCGTGACTTGTGGTTGCCGTGTCCCTCTGATAAGCATCGATTGACCGCGTGGAATCAGCGGGAGCTCGGAGAACGACCAGGCTTTCTGCACCAGCTGATAGATGGTTATGGTGCGACGCAGCCCCAGTCGGAGGCTGTCTGTGCGTGGGACGGCTCCTTGAAGTACGCCGAGCTGATTAGGGCAGCGCGCTCCTTAGCTGCGCACCTTCAGTCCCAGGGAGCAGCACCGGAGACCGTGGTTGGCATCTGCACCGAGCGCTCGAAATGGCTCCCTGT